ATAACAGTAGACTATCGTGGCCTAAAAGAAGCCTCACCATATAATAAACTCTCAGAAAGTGAGAAGCAATATGGCTGGGGAAACTCTCTCCCAAACAGGGCCAGACCTGGCTTGGGTCAGTGCCTCCACCACCAGCACTTCAGAGAATCTTCTTCCATGGAAAAACACCTCTGTGGCTGACATCCATCTGAATCCATCTCAAAAGGCATTAAGAATTTTCTCTGATGGGCAGGGACTGCTATGCAAAAGAACTAAAAGGTGAAGAGGAACTCCCCTGTGTTGGACACTGTGTCCTGTTTTCTTTGCAGGGTCACAGCTCATTGCTCAACACTGTAAGACCACATTTTGTCTGTAAAGAAACAAAGCAAGCTTTGGATCTGCCAGCAGTTAAGCTTCTCCAATACATTAATTGACCCAATCACCCTCAGCTCCTTCCGGCAACCCATGCTGGTCCTTTAGTTTTACTCCAGGCTTCCAGTTTTCCTCTGAGTAAGATATAGAGCACTATTGCACAAGTGAGATTATTGCATATTACATATATGCAACTTGTCCCCAAGGGATTAAGGACACCTTGATATGAGCAAAGGGTTGGCTTTTTTTGCCAGCAGCTCTGCTCCCATTTTGGGGTGTCACTCACGCCCCTCCCTGGATGCCAGCACTCGCCACATTGCTCGTCCATGGGCGACACATTACAGAGCACAATCAGACCTGTTGTGCAAGCTCTAAACAGTTTTTGCTTTAGTCTGCTGGGGTGGGGGGAACAGCACAAGGATTTTATATCTAATCCCATAAATCTACACTGACATCTTGTGGAGATCATGAGACCAGAGTACAGCAGCCACTCAGGAGGGTGGGATTTACACCTTCCTTGTGTCCTCCTGGACAACATCTCAGTGGCAGATGAACTTTCAATACACCTGCAGGTATGAACACAATGAAAACCAGGCCCAGCAATCTCAGAAGTCATCACTCTCTGTCCATGAATATCGTTTTGCTAAGCGACGGTCACAAACCCAACTAAAATGAGACTATTTGCTTTTAAATCCTCACTGAAAATAAGCCGATCGCCCCTCTTACACAAACGCCATGATGCTTCAGGGTTCTCAAGCACAAGCTTCCGATGAGAAGTTATTTTCATGCTGGAATTTTGTTATCTCTGTAGGCGCTGAAAGAAAATGGACCTGAGTAGCACTCCAGGACTCCTTTAATGCTCCTCTTCATTTAAAAATATATGGTTTAAGCAAAAACCACCTGCAGGTAGGAACACACACAGCATTTTCCTTCCTATGCATTCCATTCCTTTAAGTTCCTCTGCCAGGTCAGAAGGCTTAAATTAAGCCATGGCCATCCTTCTTCTGGTTGGTAAGGCTGCAATTCCAGCACAGATAATCTTGTAACCAATCCATACAATCATTCCTCCAGCTCTTCCTTACACCATTCACACTTGCTTCATAGAGTCATAGATTGGTTTGAGTTGGAAAGGACCTTAAAGATCGTACAGTTCTAACACCCCTGCCACAAGTAGGGACATCTTCCACTAGACCAGGCTGCTCATAGGCCCATCCAACCTGAGCTTGAACACTGCCAGGGATGGGGCAGCCACAGCTTCTCTGGGGAACCTGTGCCAGGGCCTCACCACTCTCAAAGTTTCTTCCTAATATCTAATCTAAATCTCCCCTCTGTCAGCTTAAAGCCATTCCCCCTTGTCCTGTCACTACATGCCCTTGCAAAAGTCCCTCTCCAGCTTTCTTGTAGGCCCTTTTAGGTACTGGAAGCTGCTCTAAGGTCTCCCTGGAGCCTTCTCTCCTCCAGGCTGAACAAGCCCAACTCTCCCCACCTGTGTCCATAGGAAGGGTGCTCCAGCCGTCTCATCATCTTCATGACCCTCCTCTGGACTCACTCAGGTAGGTCCATGTCCCTCTTGTGTTGGGGGCCCCAGAGCTGGACACAGTACTGCAGGTGTAGCCTCTGTAGGAGTAGAGGGGCAAAATCACCTCACTTGACCTGCCGGTCACGCTCCTTTTGATGCAGTCCAGGATACAGCTGGTTTTCTGGGTTGCAAGCGCACACTGCTGGGTCATGCTGAGCTTCTCATCAACTAGCACCTCCATTACACCTTTACAAATTATATGGGCCCCTTTCAGTCCCCCCTTTATTCCCTCGCTCTGCCAACAGAGTTACTGCCCTCTGCCAGGCCTTCCACCTGCACTAGTGCCTCCATCACCTCTGAGATGGCCAAAGAACCACTGCTGTAGCACCAGATGGGTGAAAAAGTGAGGAAAAGGAGCTTGGACTTATTCACAGGGTAGCAGTTCAGCTGGGGAAGCCACGCCCATCATTCACATTGCTACCGGCAGCTACCACCATAGCCAACAGTGTGTCTCTGTGCCTTTGCATGCAACTGCAGTAGTAGGTCAGCCATCTCTGATCAGTAAGATGTTCTGCTATGTATCCATTGTAGTCACCCCAGATAAAAAAATGTCACCTAAAAGTTGCACATAGACAGGGTTCACTGCAATTAGGGCTCCAGGTCAGTTTGCTCCATCTTCTTGATCTTCTCAGGGCAGTGTCAACTGATTCAGCTCCTCCCCCTCAAGCCAGACAACTTTCCAATGTGGGTGTCACAGAGGTATAGCATTAGCAGCACATTAACAAGACCTCAGCTTCATGCACAGAGAAGAAAATGTAAGACCACAGAACACAACAAATGCTATTTTGCCTTGAACAGATCCTAATGCTGAGTCTGTTAAGTTATGTGTAATACCACCTAACCAGTTATAAGAGGGAAAACCAACCATCATAAGAAAAGCCTGAATGACTCCAGTGTGGGAATCACTAGTTGCAGCACTGGCTGCACTCCGAGCAGTGGCAGACAGCTTTTATCCTCTAGGCTGCAACAGGAAAGGGGTGATTTTTTATGCTTCTAAGTGACTCATCTGTAAGCAACACCTTAAATGCCTGCAAGCCTGCTACCAAGAAGCATATACCACAAAAAACCGACACACATAAAAGCCCTGCCACTTGAGCTCTCTTAATGTGCCTTGAGCAGTCCCAGTAAGCACCCATACATATGTGCAGCTAGGTTTGATTATTCAAATCCTGTTGCCAAGTATTAACTCTCAAATCTATATTTAAGCATCTAAGTAGGAATTACTACAGCTTTTCAAAGACCCTAAGTACTAAGAGCTCTTGTTAAGAGCTTGTCGAAGTACTGACCTCCTAATGAATCTGTTTAAACAATAACATTGACTTCACTCCCAGTGCTGTGAAATTCAGCACTTCCATACACAGCTAACACTTCTGAAACTCTTCCATTAAGGGCTGAGCTTCTGAGCATCCCATCTTTCATATGAGAACATGTTAAATGCAAACACACAGAGAAGCCATTTCTAAAAGCCTGTGGTGAAAAGTCACTGTACCTTGTTTTAGAAAAGTCTTGAAATACAGAACACCAGCTGTGCAGCACAGTTTGGTAGCAATCTGGGAAGCACAGTATTTTTGAAATCAGACATATCTGAGCCTTGAACCAAAAATTAAAAATTATCCTATTAATAAATGGGGATATTTTGATATAACTCTCACTCTCCTTTCCAAAGCCAGTAAGTCTCTGAGAATTTCTACAGGACTTGAACCTTGCCGTTCTTGCAGCTAGGAAGTCAAGAAGCTGCTTTTCCTTCTCACTGCCCAAGTCTTGCCCTTTGCCAGACAAGCAAACTCACGTCCTGCAGATGAGCAGAACGCAGCAGTAATATTTCAACTCACAAAAAGAGGCCAACTCTTTGGTTTTCATCTGCTTTCTTGCAATTCTGCTTTTAAAATCAGTTTGCCTATGAAGCCAGTGTTTTACCTTCATTCCATAACTTCCTCCTTCCTGCTTGAGTTGCAAGGAAATGTGAGAAAAAGACAGGAGCTTATTTATAGGGCCAAGAGCTGCTAAAGTGTTTGGAGTGAATGCAAGAGAACAAGAACACAATATGCAAGTCTGGAAATGCTCTGGAAAGGTAAGAAGCAAGAAAGTAATCCAGGATTCTCAATGACTGAGTGAGCAATTCTGGATGAAAATTTAGCTACAGACCAAGATAAAATATACTGCAATTGCTTAATAGACACAAAGGGCCACACATTTAATTAGAATAAAGGATCAGCTAGAAAATATGAAGTTACTTCACCAGCATCAGAGAATTAGACAGAAAACAGCAGTGGTATCATGTGACACCAATCAGAAGGCGACAACTCTCCTTGCCAGCAACATCAAGTCCTCTTTCTAGCCCTGCAGAGGAAGGAGATAAAGCCTCAGCTCCAAACACTGTAGTAATCATGAAACTGCTTGTTCTAATGAAACAGAACTTTATGGATTATTTGACAACCAGACCCATTTTTAAACAAATACTGATGGGAAGCTCGTCATGGATGTATGGATGGTAGGAGAGACTTCCCATACTGTTTTATGTAATTCAGCAGTATTATGCTGTGTACACATCTTTTGGATATAATAGCCTTTTCATTAAGCAGACAACCTAACAAACATTCAATTCAAATGACTTACTCATTACCAAAAATTTTTAAATGAACCAATAAAGACAATTAGTGAAAGGAGGATAGAAAGGATTAATGCCATCCAAATAAGTGTATTTCATGAATGAGCAAAACAAACTGTTATGATCTCAGTAACAGCTTTTCAAAATTAGAGCCACATCAGGAGTTAAAAAGGAAAGCATTGCAAGTTTTCCAGAATGGGAAAAGTGATCAAACCTGTTAAGATACGCACCAAGTGTGAAGGGTGTAGGAAGTGGAGTCAGACCCAGTATTTTGTACAGTCAGAAGATGAGTTTTGTGTTTAAATTACAGCAATTTTGGTAAACTAAACTTTAAATGCACATTCTACAAAAGCCATACTTTCCAGTTCCTTCATTTGTAGTCAAAAAATATCGACACATATGTGGGCATGCACACATGAAAGTACGACCTTTCAGTTTATTCTTTAAAAATACAGTTTCCAGGTCACATGATTACTCTGTATTTCCATTATAAGAAATTGTCAATTTTGATGTAACGATTCTTTAGTTCAAGGTTAAACACTTTCCCAAGTCTCAAATGTCTTTAAGATATTCCTTCTTTTCTTCAAAATACTTGTGAAACCACTCAATATGTTCAATCTTCTGTTTAACACTGAGGTGTGGGTTTTTTGAAAGCCCACAGATGACTAGTTCCATGAAGTGGCGAATAGGTCCTTGCCTGGGAAAGTCTTTGAGGTGTTTCTCCAGAAAGATATGTTCATGAAATTCAGCATCATCTTCCATCCCTAAGAGAAGAGACAAAAAAATGACAAAGTTATCATAACAGCAAATTTAACAAAGTTAAAAAGAATTACAGTTAGCAAATAATCTGAAATCACATAAAACATACCAGCATTATCACAGTCCTGTCTAGCATATTACTGCCATTTTGTGCTCTCATTTATAACAGTATCTACCTCAACTCTCTGGCTAGTAGCCTTGCTGAAAGCTGATGCCAGGGCAGAAGCACGGGGAATAATTAACAAAATAAATCAATCTTCTTGCTAAAACCCAGTTTGTTCAATATGGGAAGAGTCTGAGTCATCATGGGTACCACCTTTTACACCAGCGACATCTTCTTCGTAAGTGCTTTATGGAAATACTGATTGCCTAAATTCTGCAGAAGGTTAAAGAATACAAGCTAGTCTTGAACAAATGAGGCAACCTCATGAAGTATCTAATACAGAACAGCAAACACACTACCATATTCATTCCAAGTCATGGTTTTAACATCCTATTGTTATCAAAAGGGGCTCAGAAAGTTGTTTTCCTAACACTTTCTGAACCTGTGAGTGTACACTGATGTAAAAATGTCATGTAGCTCACCAGCTGCTACTTTTAAGTTGCAACCAGAGCAAAGGATGATGCATTCAAAAGCATCCACAGGAACAAGAGATGATTGTAGATCTCTAAACAAACACAGCTCAGATACTATTGTAAATTTTTGTTCTCTGTCCTGTGGATTTCCCTCACAATTTGTGTTCTACAAATTCCTATGTAAATTGGCTGCTTTCACAGTTCCCAATTCTGAGACAAAAAAAAAAAAAAAAAAAAGAAAACTGGGATTTGCAATTGATTTTTCTTCAGTTAGAGGTATGCGAAAATTTTTATTTGACCCTAAATTTGTAAATTACATTTGCAGCTTAAAGTAAAAGTATGTTATTAGACATACAATTTTCAGATTACAAGACTGGCAAATTTACACCGCAGACATACGTGTATATGTTTTTTATAACTAGCTAGGATATATTATTTGATGACATTACATAAGGACTACTAAAACTGAGGTAATTAAGCCACGCAGGTCCTAGGTTTCGACAGTTTCAGAAGAAATGATGCACATCTCTGGGATGGAGAAGTCTCTCAGCTTGTCTTCATTAAGTCTGCATTATTTCACCAGCTTTGTTGCCCTCCTCTGGACCTCCAGCAACTCAACATCTGTCTTGTAATGACGGGTCCAGAACTTGTCCAGAATCTTGACAGCACTCACGGTGCAGCCTCACCAGTGCTGAGCACATGGGGGAATGATCCTTTCATAATGCCACCCACACTGACTTTCCCCACTGGAATCTCACCATACCTGGATGCTGCTGGTTGCTTTCACAAGCTAACATATTTTCCAGATTTCCATACTTTTGCTGGTCACAAAAATCCAAGAGAAGTAAACCAATGAACTCACTACTGCAACAACCTACATAATGCTGACAGTAAAATTTGGCCATCTAGAAAGTCTTCTTTTCGGGATACAGAGTATCAGGAGAGATTATGTCTCGTAAATAATTTCACCAATTTTTATCTCAAACCCAAAAGAAATTAAACCATTTATATGTAGGTCAGAAGGAAATACTACATCATATATTTTCATCTCCCATCTGTCAAACACACGATATATTCAAACACACGGTATATGGTTTGGGGATGAAGGGCTAAGTCCAAACATTTCAGTTAGACCACATATTTCACGATTTCAGTCCACAAAAAGAAGTAAAGTGTGCATCACAAAAAAATATACAACTGCTCAAAACAACAGAGGCCGAAGCCTCTGGTGGGAACTGATGAGATATGCTCACACGATTCCCCCCACCCCCAGCAAGCCATAACTTCCACTGCATGGGAAGAACCATCTGTTCCTCAACTTCTCTTGCACTGTCCTCAGAAACCTAATTTGAAAGAACATGCATGGCAGGAGTCTAAAGTAAAAGGTTTTCTTCATCAACCTCAAAGCAAGAAGTCACCCATTCTCAATATCCTGTTTCCAATCCCCCACATACTATGACGCAGAAAGCCTGAGGAATTTCTCTAGCTAAAACACTAACCCTTCCAAGATATGATCAATCTTGCCTTAAAGACGGAATCTCAAATTCATGTGTCCATCCTTGTAGGGAGTGTCGCTGACATGCTATAAGGATAAAAGCTCCATCCCTGACCAAGTTGGTCAGAGTCTTGGGCAACACGGTCTAGTGTGAGTTGTCCCTGCCCATGGCAGGGGAGCTGGAACTAGATGATCTTAAAGTACTTGCTAGCCCTAATCATTCTATGATTCATTCTACGATTCTATGGCAAGTCATGGAGCAGAACTAAAGCTACTAGAAGCAGAAGAGGCAAGCAGAATGGAGGAGGAGTGAGAACAATTTTATGCAAGCTATACCAATGGTTTGCTGATTTGGTAAAGATTGATCAGGGAGATGGAGCGAAAAAAGGCAGTTTTCTGCATTTAACTGCATCAGGTAAGGAAAAGGTCATGCAGGCAGGAACAAACAACAGGGCAGTGGGGTGGTGGGGGAAGACTGCTACTGGCCACTGCAGCAAGCCAGTATGTCTAGCCACATCTTCAGATGCTCACACCAAGGCCAGAGAGGTTCTAAAAATCTTGACCTTGCCCTGATATCTCAAAGCACAGCACAGTACCTCAGTAAAGCATTCCAACAAGAACACCAGAGATGCTCTGAAGCCAAGTAAAACAGTTATAAGCAGTCTTCTTTCATTTAGAACTTTAAAGGCTTTCATAATGCTAGAAGTTGAGTATACATGTGTCCTGGGTTCAGCAGCAGCAGTCATTTTTTCTCCTTCTTAGTAGCTGGTGCAGTGCTGTGTTTTTGACTTTAGGCCTGGGAATGGTGCTGATAGCACCGATGGTTTTAGTTACTGCTCAAATGTTTGGTCTGGCCAAGGACTTTCTGAGCCTCATGCTCTGCTAGGGAGGAGGGAAGCTGGGAGGAAGCAGAGACAGGACACCTGACCCAAACTAACCAAAGAGGTATTCCATACCACAGCACGTCATGCCCAGGATGTAACTGAGAGTTACCCGGAAGGGCTAGTTGGCTGCGGGGTTGGATGAGGTATTGGTGGGTGCTTGGTCGGGTGGGGTGGGGCGAGTTATTGGTCGGCTGGTGCTGAGGTGTTGTATTCTCTTCCTTTGTTATTTCCTTTATCATTGTTATTACTGGTGGTAGCAGTAGTGATTTGTGTTATACCTTAGGTACTAAACTGTTCTTACCTCAACCCATGGGAGCAGGGGGAGGGCAAGAAGGGGGGGAGTGAGTGAATGAGCTGCCTGACTGGTTTTAAACCATGACAACATGCTTCTTCAACAGAAGACTTATATATGTTTGTGGCATAAAAGAAAATCCACACATTTGTTGATAGAGAACAAGCTGAGATCATGTCTTCCTATTGAGGGAGATGACTGGTACAAACTGCAAAATTAACAGCAGGAAGGGACATCTTTCTTTTGCAGAGCCACTAAAATTATAGTACATTGATATAATTGGAGTGAGGTTCTCAAGCTTTTGACACACCTGATCTGATTAACAGACTATGGCTGGCATTCTGATAAGCTGTAATTTACTGTCCTGGTATTTCAGCCTGAGAGGTGATAGATTTTAGAACATTCCACTGGAATTTTCCACATGACCAGTCTTTGTAGACAGATCAATAAAGACTCTTGTTTAAATATATGTAAAGACTCTTTGTCCATTCGGCACCCCATCCCAGACAGCACGGTTCCGGCCGCATTGCTGCAAGAGAAAAACCACTGGCCGCCAAAGATACTTTGTCAACTTACGGCCCCAGACAGCAGGGTTCCAGCCACATTACAACAACAGAAAAACCATTAGCCACAATGGTTTTCAGCTTGCAAAAACATGACTAGAGTATACTCAGATTGCCACATGATGGAACTGATCAATTCTGGGAGCAGTGATTAAATTCTATGAAGAAACTGCCAAAATAGGATGAGAAGAAACATTAAGAAACAATGCACCACATTATGCAATTTGCAACTCAGTACAGGACAGATTTTCAAAGACTCGCAGCTTCAGATACTAACCTGTTTTGCTTTCAGTGACTGAATCATTCTAAAGTAGTTCTGTGTGACGTCTTTAAAGTCTTTAAAAAAATGCCAAAAACACAACACAGCCAAGCCCTCCCTGAAGTTATGAAGACCCTTTTCCTAAGTGTGCACTTGCTCTGTGTAGTTGTTCTTCCCTCCCTTAGCATTCATTCTCTCTCTGCTGGCTTAACTTCACACAGAGCTTTTTTTTTTTTTTTTTTACTGGTACTAAAAATAAATACTGTGCACAAAGATGTCTGGTTAAGATAGATGCCCAGAGTGAATTAATATTGTGGCTACTTATGAAACAGACAGAACAAAGGGAGCAAGCAACTGTTTAACACTCAGCCAACGCAGACATGGAACTGGCAGATAGCTGATTAGGATCCGGCTAGCCACTTGGTCTGAGAGCCACACCAAAGAACAGAATCAGCATTATAAAATACAGACAGCAGTTTTAAGATTCTCCATTCAGGTTTTTCAAAGAAGTTGCACAGTAAAAGGTATTATGTAATAGACTTGAATGGCCTTTTGGTGTTGAAAGCACCAGGACTGATGGAGGGAGGGAACTTCTCCCCTTTTTGGCAGCAGCCAGTGCACAGATCAGCCAAACCACCTGGAGGACATCACCTGCAGAGCGCCAGAATGAGTTCATCTGAAGCAGCTCTGATTTAGGACAGTTGGAAAGTTGTATTTGTTTACTCTCAAATGCATGACTCATAGCTGAAACGCTATGTTTAAACAGTCAGAGGTCATAACATGCTCTAATTCTTAAAAAAAAAAAAGATAACTATAGACAGACAATAGAAGTTAACAGTGTACATACCAGCTTCATTGTCAACTGGGTACTCCCACAGTAGTCCATCTTTCGTCCACTCAATCATCTCCTCAAAACCGTTCCGGGGAGGCTGTGCAGTTACTGCTGCAACCTCCTTCGCAAACTCCAGATCCCAGATAGTTGGTGAAGATACTAAAAAAGAAATTTATAAAGATCTGTCAACAAGCTAAAGACTTCTCACTAGCTAAAACTAAGTCCTTTAACATTAACCTTCACAGAGATTAGTTCTTTCGGCTGTGAACATTTTTCTACCTTAGATGCCAGAATCACCTTTTTCAAATAAGAATTCTCTGTTGATACGAAAGTACATTAAAGTCTCAGTTACCTGATGAAAATGTACTCTGAACTCCTAGGTGACTTCTTTTTAGACCTTTCACACAGAACAGGAATTTAGGTTTTCCATAATCTTTTTTCCTTTTTGTGTTTCACAGCTTCTATATATGACAAACTCTGAACTTGACTGCTGCACTCTGCTAAAGGAATCTTGCTTACTACAGGAGTTTTCAGGTATTTCATTACTATACTCTCCTTCAGGGAGACAACTCAATCTACTGATGACAATTCTTTCCCCAACACTTGTGAGTGTCCCAGTTTTTGTCTCTTGGGCTTGAGAAATCCTGAATTCCTATCCTCTTCTCCCAGAGTCAGACAATCCCTTTAGGGATACATCTCTCCCGATAATTTTTTTTTTAATCAAAGTATAGTCATATGGCAGCAGAGTTACTCTTCAGGAGTTCCTGTCCCTCCGCCCAGGAGAACTGGTCATGAGCCCAGACTGAACCGCATCACTGAAGCAAAGGGAACAAGCTGTCACCAGAGGACAGGGAGGAACCACTGGCAGTGCCTTGGGCTGCTGTCTCATCAGCTGGCCTAAGTCGTGCTCCCCTTTGTTTTCTTGTCTCCCCCTGTTATCAATTCACACTAAGCTCCTTAGAACAGAGTTCTTGATGTGAATTCAAATATTACAGTCCATTTGACGTGGATCAATGCCAATGAGCTATTATTTTACTACTCGTAAGTGCAAGTATTTGAAACTAAGATACAATTTCATCTTTGGCTTAGTGGCTTACAACTCAAATGAGTTAACACCCCACCCCCCCCCCCTTTATGAAAAAAAAACAAAATGAAAGGGCAAACAATATTTTTACATATTGAAAAGTGGTCTCATTTTTAAATCAGAAGATACTTCTGCAAATTATTTCTTTCTTAGCAGGGAAATTGCCAGACATATATTCCCTAGCTGCCTACTTTGATTTGAGGGCTGGAGGCAACAATAAAATACAGATAAGAGACAACATGAGAAACCATATCAGAATGAAATTATTGTCCACATCTTAAAAGAATACCTTCTAATAAATCTTTTATTAGAAGAAAGCAGAAAACATTTTTTCAAGCTTGCAGTAAAGGTGATAAACACTGTATTTTCACCTCTGTGAAACCAAAAATACTGACATTTTACGTTAACAGTTACTGATATGTTAACAGTTATCATTTTTTGTCAGGATGACAACTGACTTTCCAGTGAACATTCAGGTTTTCAAAATAAATATTCAACATGTAACACAGAACTTGCTTTTCTGTTATGTATAAACAATACCTTAACTCATTATTCCCACTACTATGAGTCTAAACAGAATCAAATGTATAAAGGTATCAAGTATCACACTGGTATTTCTTGAGATTAATGCCAAAAAAAAATGTTGTCATTAGGCTCTCTTACACAATGTGTGCACATTCCAGTTTTGTGTTAAAAAAAAAAGCGTATCTCAACTTTTTATCTAGGGTGACTACCATGTGCCAGTGAGTCTGCATTGTGCTATGCAAAAAAGGTTCAATTCTCCAAGCAGATTTGATTCAATTAAAATGCCAATTACTTGAACAACATATTTATCAAGACAGGTAAAAACAAACACTGCATCACTTATTATGTAAAATGAAACAATTTTAAGGAAATGGACAGTCTTAAAAAACAGCAAACTGAATTCCATTCTAATATGCAGCTTTCATAGTCCACCACAGAAGTGGCTGCATTCAGAAAGCTCACAGCTGCCTGAAAATATGCAAATAGCACTATGTGACATTTTAGTAAAGAAATTAAGAAACCAAATTAACTTCTCCCTGCAGTTTCAAGTGTGAAAAAAGGAGGAAACTACTCAGCTAGAATCTGGCAAAAGCCAACAGTCCTACTCTTGAAACGGAAATAAATATGTATCATTTTCTAAGATATCAGAGAGGAGTACTACTTCTTCTGCAGCTGCCGGCTTTATATATAGTTCTAAGTCACTAGACTGGAATACAGGTTTGGGTGGAGGTTTTTTTCCCCTAAATGGCCTTGGAATAGCTTAGGGAAACAAGTGTATTGACGAGTGCTAATAATGCACATTTTCATTGTTCAGAAAGAAAAGTGAGAGCAGGAATTCTTTAGATGACTTGATATATCCACACCCTCTTAGCCAAAACCCCAACTATAGTAAAGCTAAATCTACGTGTGTGAAAGCTATCCCCCTCATTATGGATGCTCCTTCAGAGCTGCGGCATTCAGTGAAGATGAAGGTGGGGCATACCTGTTTTGCTGTTAGTTTTTTAATCTTACATGAGTTTCGGCATGTGTATTTGGTGCACAAGGAATTAGTAGTAGTGGTCCATGGCATATTGTCTGGATGGAGATCAGCAACAAATGGTGTCCCTTGGGGGCCTGTACTGGAACCAGTACTGTTTAATATCTTCACCAATGACACAGACAGTGGGATTCAGTGCATCATCAGTAAATTTGCAGATGACACCAAGTTGAGTGGTGCATTTGACATGGCTGAGGGAAGGGATGCCATCCAGAGGGACTTGGACAAGCTCAAGAAGTGGGCCCATGTGAACCTCATGAGGTTCAACAAGGCCAAGTGAAAGGTCCCTCACACCTGGGTCAGGGCAACCCCTGGTATCAATACAGACTGGAGGATAAAGGGATTGCTAGCAGCCCTGCAGAGAAGGACCTGGGGGTGCTGGTGGTGAAAAACTGGACGTGAACTGGCAATATGCATTCACAGCCCAGAAAGCCAACTGGCTCAGCAAAAAGAAGTGTGGCCAGCAGGTTGAGGGAGGTGATTTTGCCCCTCTGCTCTGGTGAGACCCCACCTGGAGTGCTGCATTTAACTCTGTAGTCCTCAGCACATGAAAGACATGGACCTGTTGAAGCAGACCCAGACGAGGGCCACAGAAATGGCCATAGGGCTGGAGGACCTGTCCTACAAGGAAAAGACTGACAGCTGGGGTTGTTCAGCCTGGAGAAAAAAGGGCTCTAGAGAGACATTAAGGCCTTTCAATACTTAAAAAGGATCTGTAAGATAGATGAGGACAAATTTCTTAGTAGGGCCTGTTTTGACAGGTCAAGGGGTAATGGTTTTAAACTAAAGGAGGGTTTATTGAGACTAGATATAAGGATGTATTTTTTTTACAATGAGGGTGGCAAAACACCAGAACGTGTTGCCCAGAGAGGTGGCAGATCCCTGGAAATATTTAAGGTTGGATGGGGCTCTGAACAACCTGATCTAGTTGAAGATTCAGTAACAGAATATCCTGATTAGTACAGAAAACATTTATCTATTACACTGCATGGAAGTTTTGTTTAGCAAAACTCAGTGTTACATTATTCATTTTATTTATAGTCTGAAAGCAGGAAGTTCACAGGTCGTAAGTCTTTTTTGTAACAGTGAATCTCTTGGTATTTTAAAAATTCAGAACTTGGCTTCACTGGGTTTTTCATTACTGAATTTCCACTAACCTGTTTTCAGTGTGCTTTGTGTTTCTGTAGAAGCCTTAGTGAATATATTAAGCCTCTTTCCTACTTTGAGACTTCTATAAACAAAAAAGAAAAACGATATTTAGTATTTCACAACACTTCACAACACTGCCAGATAACAAATTCAAAAGCACAAAATATTCTCATGAACTAGCAGATCTCTGGAGAGAATTAAAAAAAAAAAAAAAAAAAAAAAAAAGAGATAGTGACTTTCACTAAATCCTCAGGCTTTTAACCAGAGAAAGTGTTTATGACTTTGTTATTCATCTGTAACAGAGCTTCCCAAAACATTTCTATGTAAAAGAATGAGCAGAAATCAAAACACTGTATCTGCAGTCATTTTTTTACTGAAGTATTGAGGAATCTGAACAAATCTAAACAGTATCAAACACAGAACTCAAGCAATTTTACAAAGTTGCAACTAAAAAGTGAATCTGGTGATTTGGGTTTTTTCCCTGTAAAAAATATTGCACAATTCAGGAAGAGAACAGGCAACAGCTAAATCAAACAGTTCCCACATTATGGCATAAATAGCCTTTTTGGAAGATTACACAGCCACCTTCTCTGCCACACGGCAAACTCTCAAAGTATATCTGTATGGTACACTTTAAACAGCATCACACTGATGCTCTCTCTTCTGAATATAAAAATACTAAACTCTGACGACCTATTTTTAATCAAATTTATTTTTAGCATAAGCCTATGCTAGAAATGTTTTTACAAACCCAAGAGTTCAACAAGTAATCAGGGTTTTTTTTTAATATACATAGTAACAAAGAAAAACCAATGCCTTTACTGTAGAACACTCCGAACTTTAGAACAAATGATTCTTCTAATCACAGAATCTTCCAGGTTTCTACTGAATAGTTCCTACTTCACCCTATTACATATTCACAGTTACTCTGGCAATACTTGCCCTTCCTGACCTTAAAATTTCACATCTCTGGATTTACCGTAGATTCCTGCAAACCTGTGTTTGTTATATCCTGATGTAACTACCCCACATCTACTTCAGCACAGAACAATCTAATTACAGGGACATAAAAGAATGCTGATTTAGGATTATATTTTCCTATCTGTGTGTAACTCCCAAAATCACTGGCCAAAGATACAAGCAGGACTTGGAAGAATATTTATTTAAAAGTGACTAATTCAAATTATTATGTATTATCCAGTATCTGAAGGGGGGCTACAAGGATGATGGCGAGGGACTCTTCATTAGGGACTGTAGTGACAGGACAAGGGGTAAGAGGGGAAGTTCAGATTGGATATAAGGAAGAAGTTTTTTACTGTAAGGGTGGTGAGGCACTGGAATGGGCTGCCCAAGGAAGTTGTGAATGCTCCACCCCTGGCGGTGCTCAAGGCCAGGCTGGACAGAGCCCTGGGTGACATGGTTTAGTGTGAGGTGTTCCTGCCCATGGCAGGGGGGTTGGAACTAGAGGATCTTAAGGTCCTTTCCAACCCTAACTATTCTATGATTCCATGATTATAAAGCAACATCAGTCATTTCATTGAAATCTACTGACTCCATTTAAACTTAGATATTCTTCCTAACCCATTCTTTTCGTATTATCAACAGGTAAGTATGCCCACTAGATTTTCAGGGATGCAGGAGGAAACTCATGACTGGAAACAATTTGCTCATTATAAAACTATTTTAAGGTACTGTTCTTGAAGTTACATACCCAGTACAGTTTCATCACACAAAGAGAACAAGACAGCTTCTCAGATATCATAAATTTAATAAATGTTCTCAAACATAAGCGAAATTGACTTTACTTTGCAGTATGTCAAAAAGTGTGGCAAAGATATAAAATAATACACACTGTACAAGCATTTAACAGCTCAGGTTTTCATGTTTATACTTTTAGACCATTTTATTTCTATCTTTTCAAACTTTCAAAAACTTTCAATCCAACAACTTCAATGTATTTCTCATAATCAGTCAAGAATCATAATGTAGTAACAAAATTACTGTCATGTGACTTATCAGCTCTGTCTGATTATTATCCCAGATTAAAAACATCTATAGAGATATTCAGCAGCTGATAATGAAATCAGTTCCCTTGCTCCTGAAATCAATAGCTTATAACTGAACGAAAACTTCAGGACCAAAGTATCTAAAAGAGGGCTTGGACAAGAATCTTGTTCCACTTCTTCCCTTCAACTTCCATTACAAGAAGCCCCTCTTGCACTTTCTACAAGCTTTGCATCAGAAAAGAAAACACTGCTTGCTGGCCTTATAGCATTGAAGAGGCCCAAGGGATGCTTCCCTAACAGACCTTATCAGTTTGGTAGTTCCAGAACATGGAAGTTACCCAGACACATTTCAGCAAGCAGGTTAAATTCTTCTAATGAGTGGCTGTAAGACATTTCTTTGAGGTTTTTGCATGATCTACATGGCTCAATGCATACATTCCAATTTGTTCTTTACAGGAAGTCACAATTCACTATCCATTATACACTGAAATAGATGTCTCACAAAAATACCTTCCAGAGTCAGAAGACTGAGGTGAAAATCTTCCCGGCTTCATTCTTTGACCATCCTCATCAAAGTCCAAGGAAATGCGACTAGATATCCTCACACCTCTCTGAGCTGGGGACTGCCTTTTAACTGCCATTCCTGAAATAACGTCACTGAAATTAAAAACATGAATGTAAAAACTCAACATATCAACAAAGCAAGGAAGTTTGTCACATGTATTATCAGAAACTCTATTCTCAATTGGCTTCATAAGCCTCTATAAGACAGAATTTTACATTCCTCACAAAATACGCCCATTTTTAAGTCACTAAACATTCAAGTCTTACTTTTTAAACAACCTCAGTTGTTACATTCTATACACATTTAATGAAAAGTACTATTTTAGCCTACTAGATCTACAGTGAAAGCTTTCTTTGAAATCATTTTGTTTCCAAATAACAGAAAAAATTCATACATCTGCCAGTATTTCCAGAGTGTACGATACATGTGTTGCTTAAGTAATTGAGGATACAAGGAATATGCTGAAATAGGGAGGTAAAAATCCACCAGTTTGTTTTTTTTTTTACACAAACCAACACTGCCCAGGGACAGAGCTGTGCTGCTGCAGACCAAAAGGAAGCTTGCCTTCACACATCAGCTGACATGGGTCAATCATGCCACTCTACTTAGTAGGTCACCTTTCCTGATCCACTGCAATCTGTTGCATTGCGTAATCATATTACAGCATTAACAGACCACATCTTCCTTTGTAATTCTGTACTCAAAATCATACATGAAGAGCAAATGCTCTGATCTCAGCCAGCGTTCTATGCAGCTCATTCTGAAAACAAAGGGCAAAACACACCACCTTTCTGCCTCCACCACCTAATCACCTTAACTGGTACGTCTGTTGGTTAGTAAAGACCAAGCTGGTAATTCTTCCTCACAGCTTACCCTCTCTGCCAACTGCTTCCAGAAACATGCGGTCATGCAAAATTGCAGTGCTCAAGATAGAGGACAGAAATATGGTCTCAAAAAAAGGAAAAACAAGCCAAATCAAAAATACTGAATATCCATTTTATGAAAATCTGAATGAAATCCAAACTATGTTTTGGCAGTTTAAGTCAAAAGAGATTTCACTGACAAGAAATACTTCTGGAAAACTGTAAAAGTTAATTGCCACAGCAACACAGTAGGATTTCTCCTTGCTCTTAGATGTGGTTTCCAATGGCAGAACAAGAACAGCATAGCTCTTCAAGCACCTACTCTGAAAGAAAGGCATCTGAAAACAAGTTTAAAATATTTTCATTTTAATCTTGAAGACAAAACAATTACAGATCTGTTGAGTACCTCACACTAGAAATTACTCTATTAAGTGCCTACTGGCATTAGTGAGCTGGTGTCAGGCCAGAGGCTTGACACACTTCTGAGGGTCAAGGGGAGATAATTACTAAGGTCAGCCACATGCAGCCCAGCCCAACTGCTTGACTCAGCTGTGACTTGAAAGGCTGGAGTGTTCCCATGCTTCAGGGGGATCAGGCTTGCTCATAGCTCTCCTCACAGCTGATCTTGATTTATTTGTGGTTTTGCAGAGTAGCTCTGGTCAGGCTATGCTACCAAGCTATCAGAACATGCAGTCAGTGGTATCATATTTCTCCCTGGAAAGCTCTAATGTCACCCCATTATGAGTATATGAACATGTCTGGCAGCAACAATCATTACTCCATCATTTCAACCGCCCCTGTATTAACTAAAACTACGAAAGCGTTTTTAATGCCTTTTGTAATGAAAACATCAGATTACAAAGTCATACTCCAACCCCAGTGTACCTTCAGTTGTTAGATATTACATGATATTACCTCATGTTCCACCGTAACATTAAAATTCTAAGTTCATAGATACTTCTGCCCTCCACACATGCAAAGGGGTAGAGCTTTTGTAACAACCACACATTCTCTCTCCTTCCTGATTACCAACCAATAATTACAATACTAAAAATGGAGACGCAATAAGCTTTGGACATACTTTAGCCTAAGCTCTGAATTACTTTTTTTCTTCACCCAAAACAGGAGCTGAAATTTCAACTTGTAGTGCTGCAGATTTTATTTTGGTATAGTGGTGTTGTAATTTCCACTGAGTGAAACTTCATCCCACACTCAGGAAAATAAATTCCTGTATTGTTAATATTTTCCCCTCCTAGCGAACAGGCTGTCCTCATGCTGTCTTCAAAACAAAGCATGAGACAACTGCATACAACAGTGACCTCTGGAGGTCATGCCACAATCCCGTGAAGAAAAAAATAGTACAAACTAAAAGATCTGAACAATATATGATTTATCATGAATCATAAATCAAAATAGCAGTATCACAATCTTTCACAGCTAAGCATTATACAGCTCTACTGCTTGCGAAGGTGTCTCACTTATAAATAGTTTTAAGTAATGGAGGAATACATACTGGGTTTTGAAGTGTGTCAGTATATTGAATGCAAAACTTTTACTGGAAAAAAATTAAGTTAAATTACCCGTGTTCTCTTGTCAAATAAAATACAACACAAAACAATCGTATATGAATAAAATTGCTTTCTAACGCATTAAAAGCATTTTAGTGCCTTGTGAGACAGGTATTCTGGAGCATAAAGTCATGCCCATAAAGTCTGAGAGCTGCTGTGCTTTTTAAAACCAACATTTTTAAACACTAAGCAGGAAGCTGAAAGTACCACATTTATCTCAGAAAGGTTACTATTAACCAAGTTTTCAATCATGACAGTCACCAGGAGTCACTGGTGTTTCTTGAAAACTCATTTACTGGTAAGAATTTCAAACTGTTACCTAATTATTAAGGAAGAAAATGAAACTTCTGACCATACAGTGGGGGAAAAACAGAGAGAAGAGAGAAAAGAAAAAAGAATCTACGTTCCCAGGGGTAAAAAAGCTCATGCACAAAGCTGTCTCGCGGAGTAGAACTTGCCAACTAAAAGCACAGCAAGCCACCCATGGCATTCCTAGCAAAACAAAAAGGCTGGTTTTGGTTGAGTAAAATGCATTTTTCTAACCATTTTTCTAACCATAGTGACTCATCCACAAGCATGTTATAAAATGTTGTAACAGCACATCTTAAACCACCAATCAACTATATAGAGACACTATACAGCTGCAGGGACTTCAGTTTTTAAATTTCTGTAGAATTTAAACACTCTTTCAAGAGAAAAAAGTCTTTTTGCTTAGATTATAACTTCCTTAGGGACCTTCCTTCTTTCACAGCAACAACGGCTGGGTAAATGCTTCAGGGTGGCAAGGACAGCGAGTCCTTGATGCCAGTAGGCAGATGAACCACTTTTAGAGAAGAATATACTTCAACAAACAGATGCAGATGCATATGAGGTTAGCCACTGCACACAGCAGCTCAGTCAGTATCAGTACAGTCTCCCAACGACTTATCAGGTAATGAAGTAGGTTCTAATAATGTTTAAGTTGGCCACCAACAGCCAGCGCAGCTATTAAGACATTTTTGTACTCTGCTCTTCTGAAAACCTCAGTGACAGAGATAGTACAACCTCACTAGTAACTAACACTTAACGAACATATGCTTTGTATAAAATAGTCCCTTATTTATACTTTCTACATTAGGAAGGGTCTCTTAAGTTTTCTGTAATGTTGCACACACAAACAAAAAAAGTACAAACATGTAAATTTTACATAGAGCAGCCAGATCTCTTAACTCTTAAACTACTAATTCTAGCTCCAAAAACAGATGGAGAGAGAAGGTTCTGTCAAGGAGATCTTCTATATTCAGGCTTAAACGGCATTATGAAAACAGTGCACACACAGCATGCATCCTTTAGAAATGCTCGCATGTACTACCTAAACCCATGCTTCCTCCTCATATAGCAGAGAGTTCCTAAGTTTGGAGACACTTTCATTCTGCTCTCCACTATCACCATTAGCACTTACTAGGGAATCATGAACACAGGCTAAAAGGTAAAAGCGCAGTTTCTTCCTCTTCCATTCACAGACTCTGAAGAACATGCATTTTGTTCAACAAAGTTATTCACTGAGCACCATATATTCCAGTCTCTTTGCAATCGTCTAACACAAGCTGTCTGCAATCATCTGTCACACTCTGTTTTCACTCACTTAAAAGGCAAACATCAGCCACAATCAATAGCCTGTTAGCTGTTCCGTGTGCAGTACCTTGATAAATATAGAAAGATCTTTTACTCATCCCTAGAGCAACCTATAAATAATAATAATAATAATACATGGTCAAACTTAACTCCTGCTTTTGGACAAATTCACAGAATAAATTAAAACTAGATAAGCAGCTTGCAGTTCAGACTGCAAATCACCATAAATAAAGGTTTCACATTCCTATGTTGCTAAAGATCCAGTATTCTCCTTAGTTCAGCATTTCACCTGGATTTAATGATTTATTTTCTGTGTGGTTATCTGAATCCCAGCTGGGAAAAAAAGAGATAAAACGAAAATCCTCTCTTTAGCCATCATCCAGAAGAGCAGTATGCCCAACTGTTTCTGTTTCTAAACAAATGCGTCTAATTTGTTTGAAAGCCACACTGGAAATGAGTTAAGCCAAGAGATGAGTTTCTTGGGTTGACTGGAAAGTTTTGAAAGGAAGGGTGGGGCTATAAACAGAGCTGCTCTAGTTCTGTTCTGCAGAGCTGTCATGAAAATTCACTAGTCCAGACAGAATGTCTGAAACATCTACAAATCCATCCATTGTATGAGAATTTCAGAAGCTTGGAATAAAAAAAAAAAATAATGTTATTTTGCTAGCCTGTCCAAGAAAGGATAATTCTGGGCAGGAAAACAATTCCATTTCTGCAAAACCATTTTAGAATAATGATGACAAAATTTAGGGAGTCTGGTATAACCAGACCAATGATCATTAATTCCAAGGATAGCCTCTGCAAATGTACCTTTTAGCACCATCTTTCCAAGACAGAACCCAGTCACCTTCAAGATGATAGTGCAAAATCAGAATGTCAAACATTATTAAGAATAAAATTCAATATACAGACCGTAAGTTAACAATTCCCCCCTTTTTCTGTTTATCTGTGGTTTCTTCATGTCGTTTTAGTTGTGCAAGTAGTTCTGATTCTGTCTGCTTCTTATCGAGTGGTAGGGAAGATGCAACTGCAGAAGCGGCCTCGACCAGTTCTGGATTTAAAGGCCTGCCTCTGTAAGAGACACAACAGATAAGGAAAGACAAAAAAAAAATCTGAAAGCCTTAATATATTTAAATTGACATTTCTGTACTTTCATGTCTTAAAAACTCAGAAGTTACACTTGCACATTATCCCAAATGGGAGTGGCCAGGGGGTCATCCAGGTTTGCCCTATATTGTCCTAATCATCAACTGCCAAAGGACACCAACAAACTCTTATGCTCACAGCTGGGAAAACAGCAGCCCTACACCACTGCATAGCTCCTTGGATGTGAAGCCTGGAGGCCACAGATGCTATTGCTACCTTTCAAGAGCCTCACACAAGCAAAAGGTTGCTTTTGGTAGAAAGTACACATCATCTTTTGTCCAGATTCTCCCATGATTTAATGCAATCTACATCTGTATATCACGCTCCCTTACAAGATTATTGGCCATGCCTGGAAATGGCATTTGATGCTTTATTTTGGTTTAGCAATGAAAAAAAAAAATGGGGAAAAAAATAAAAGAAGAAGATAAAACAGGCTGAGAGAAGTCTGTTATACTTTACCGCTGGATCCCTTCTCTAGTTCTCTGAAGCACAGCACCTTCGGTGTCTGGGCTTTCCAGCTTATTTATGGCTTGCTTTTTCATCTCTTGTGCTTTTAACTGTTGGAGTTTTCTCCTGTAGCTCACTTCTACCTTCATGTTACCAATAATGTCTAACAGTTTCTTCTTTGGTGTTTCTGCTGCATCCTCCTTGCTCTTTGATTCCTCTTCAGTAGTGCTGTCTTTGGAAGGGGTAGATTTATCTTTCTCAGTAGAAAACACGCTGCTTGTGCTGAAGAATTTCTGTATTTTGCTAGATGATACACAAAATTTAATAAATTAAAGTCAGAGGTTACAAATAAGGCCTGAGGCTGAATTTTTTAAGTCTACAAAACCCCCATCAGTTACAACTGCTTAGGCCTGAGTGCAAACTGAGTATGTTAAGTACATGTCAAACATGTATCTTTTAACTTCTGAGAAGGGCTAGAGCACTATTTAAAATTCTTACCATTTATGGTTTCTTCATCACAAAAAAATCAAGTAAACTTTATTTCCTCCACAAATAAACTGTGTTTAATCTATGAACTTATAACTTTTTAAGTATTTCTGCATCAGGTAGCAGTCTAAGAGTTTGAATCTACTGGTACCTGATATTTAGATTCATGAGCACTACAGAACACTGACTGAAACTCTTAAAATGAGACAACAAAGAGATCACTATCAGTCACCTGGAAAAAGACTGTACACAGATTTAGCTTCACATCATTTCATACTTGTGGTATTAGTATGGATCATATCCCTCTACCCTATGCTCTGCAATATAACAGCCAGGCATTTGTGCAGACATATGGGGAAATCGATCCTGCTGCAAGATAACCCAGTAACTAACAAAAAAGCAGTTTCAGTTATTTTTCCCTCTGGAACAGCTATTTTACCTGGTTTACCAAATCACTGTAAAGAAGCTAAAACTGACATGGTGCAAGTGAGGATGTGAAGCCAGGGACAGCAGGGAGCTGCTTGGGATGCTGCTGCAACACAGACACAACTGCATTCCCTGGAAAAAACTACCATAATATTCAAATAACTGTTTTCTTTAACATTCTAAAATTAAATGTTTAATTTTTTAAATTTGCAACGACTTCATTTGTTGTTTAAAAATCACTATCAAGTTACTAAATTAAAAAAAAAAATACAATTATTTGATTCAAAATAAAGCACTTCAATAGATCTGAAGGAGTTTTTACATACCTCTCCCCCTCACACAATAAATAATAATTAGTATTTTATTCTAAAATAGAAATGCTTATAATCTGTTAAAAATAATAATCTGCTGTTCTCAGCAGGCACCATGTTATTACTTCAGTCGCTCTGCACTTCATAAATTGTCAGCATTAAATCCTAAATTTTGATGTTGAGAACCAACAGCTTCAGAACCACATTACTGTTGGTAGGAGTCCTGCTGTTTCGCAGTGAGCTACCCTCCACAGATCTTTTTCAAACACATGGTTTTTATTAATTCAGGCTTCATCCTCCTTAAAGCTAATTATACATTCAGAGATCTTTGTTATAGCAAGACTGTAAGCCTTAAACATTTAAAGCCAGTAGTACACTGCAGCTTCTATTACTATATTCCACCTACCATTGGCTGTGTCTTATGCTCAGAAGCCTCACTTAAGAAAGCAAACACAACTACAAAAGAAACCAAGCTTTTTCATACATGAGGTTATCACAGTATTCACAGCTTGTTCAAAAATATCGAGGAGCTTTGAAATTAAAAAAAAGTATAACAAAAGCAGTTTAAATCTTTTTAAAAAATAAAATCAAACTTCCAAATACTACTTTTAGCCAGTGCTTTGGGGATGTACCTCTGCCAACTGGTAGTACCGCTCTGCTGATACACACTGTGTAAAATTATGCTCAGGTCACAAATAATCACAGACTGGTTTGGGTTGGAAGGGACCTTAAAGATCACTTAGTTCCAAACCCCCTGCCATGGGCAAGAACACCTTCCACTAGACCAGGTTGCTCAAAGCTCCATCCAACCCACCCTTGAACACTTTCAGGGATGGGGTAGCCACAACTTCTGCCAACCACCGTAAACAGTAAAGAGTTTCCTAACATCTAAGCTACTTTCTTTCAGGGTAGAAACTCAATCCAAACTACTCCCTTCTTCCCATGACTTCTGCCCACCAATGTCGGTAGCGCACTGCCCCAGCAGGACACCCGTACTTGGGCCTGCCCTGCTTCCTGCCCGAGCGGGTTTAACCCCGGCGGCACCCGAGAACAGCGCAGCTGAAGGCGGCGCCGAGAACACTGTGCGGGCCCCCCTTACCTCACCCGCCCGGTCCAGGCACAGAGTCACGGCACTAAGCCGCTAAAACACGAGGCCTGCCTTCAACGCGGAGGCCAACGGAGACAACCTGCCCTCGGGGCATAGGCCGCGGCGGCCCCGGCCCCAGCTGCGGCGAACCGGACCGGCTTTCCCCGGGGAGCCGAGCACATCCATCCCTCCAGAGGCAGCGGCAAGGGGCGGAGCGCGGCCCTGCCGCGGACATGGACATGGCCCCGGCCCGGCAAAAACCCCCACGCCGCCGAGGAAGGGTTGTGGGGAGGCGACGGTACCTGCAAGAGCTCCGTTGCTGCCGCGCTACCCCCACCACCTCCCGGCCGGCCAGGAGCCGCACCGCGAGCCCGCAGGAGCCCCTGGCCGCACCGCCCCAGCCACGGACACGGCTCCACATCGCGCCCGCAGCGCGGCCACCGCGGCGGTCCGCCCCCACGCGTGGTCCTCCCGGCGCCGCCGGCTGGGAAAGGGAGCTGAGCTGAGCGTTCCGCGCACCAGCGTTCCGCCCGGCTCGGCGCTGCCGGTCCTCTGCCAAAACCATCCCGGTCGCTCGGCGCCACGAGCCGCAGTCGCGTAGGGCAAGTCTCCGTTGGGAAGCATGTAATGGAGGCACCCAAGAGCTTCGGGGAAGCTGCAAGAGCAGATACATGCAAGGGTTTCTTTTGGGGCTACAAAGCACCTACCTTTAATGATTATTTTGAGGAAACAAAAAGAGAAAGATTCGTGTCTATTAAGTTCAGGTGTCTCATCGGATGGTTCCTGTTATTTCCATCACTGAATACCCATTAAATTGGATCCACATTAGGGACACCAGTCCTGCCCCAGCGGGGGAGTGGCCCACACATGCCAGTTTTGTAAGACTTAAGTATGTAGATTTAAGTTCACAAAAGAGTTTTTAGATTTGTCAGCAGTACAGATGAGGACAAATGAAACAGCAGCATCCAGAACTGTGCTGCCATCGTATCTCAAGACCAAACTTACCTCTCCAAAGGACAGTTGATTTTTTATGTTAGAGCATAAACTGCTTTGAGAAATTCAAAAGTTGATTCCTTTACAGCCAGCTAACTCAAGTGTCTCTCACCTATCTCTATAGCTTGTGGTACTGAAAACATTAAATGTAAAACACCAGGTTTCAGCCTGTACAGTGCTTTTGATGCATGGCTGGTTCCATAGTGATGTTTTGGCACCCAGCTCCTGTTCACTGCCTCACTTCTTGCCATTTTCAGAAGGAGGTCGGGTGCCCAAGGGACCTGACCTCCTTCTGGCTCTGAAGGTCAGAAGACCTTCTCTGCATCCAGCACAGCTGCCATGCTTTTCCCCTTGTGCTTTCTTTCCAGCTGTGTGGCAGATGTCAACCCGTAGCTCAGAGGTATGTGTAGGAAGCACAAGCCAGCAAGGGAAAGGGAAAAGAAGACAACCTTCTTTTGTTCTGAACAAAATCTGTCCACATCTAAAGAATAACTGGGCTTATAAATACCAAAGAGATGAAATCTGGTGGTTTTCCAGCCTCCGCTCCAGGATATGCCCATGATGGTTGTGGGGTGTCCAGCCCAGGGACAGAAACATACAGTGGATCTGCCTTGAGGCCAGTAGCTGTTGCTGAGGAAAATGGCTTCCTGCTGTGAGCACAAATACTAATGAGAACCCTGATCTAGCTGAAAAAGATCAGAGGAACTTCAGATATACCAGAAATGCAAAGAAAATATTGGGTCTGGTTCAAGTCAGTCGAAAACCAAATTGCAAACAAAAGTCCAGTGAACTGGGAACTGCTGCTGTTGGCCAGCTTCCTCAAACTCTGTCTGACTTGTGGCAGTACTCACTTGCCTGTGTGCTTTTTGTCCTTCAAGGTTGGGGGGTTTTGTTGATTTGATTTATTTTGTTCGGTTTTGGTTGGTTGTTTTTTTTTTGGGGGGGGGGGAGGTTGGTGGTGGTGGTTTTTTTTCCTATTGCATGCAACAGCAATTTCAAAGTGACTTTTTTTACCTTTGATACACAAATGTCCCATACTTCCCAGACAAAGATCTTTTAATCTAGGTAACTTCACTAACAAATTACTCTTACTCCTAAAAAATACACTCTTTCATCACACTTTCATCCATGCAACTGCTAGTTATCAAGGATATTAAGCAATCTAAGGAAAATTATTTATTGTTCAATCAAAGTATAGAAAACAGAACATGGAAGAAGAATTCTCATAGTGCAAAGAAGCATCTTTCCTCCAAAGCCCTATCTCTGTTGTGGCTTTCTGTGCTGTAAATCAGACCCATCCTAAGCCAGACCCCTCGAGTACCAGAAAGCACTTCCATATTCCTGCTGAGCACTTACAAACCAAGATCTCTGCACGCATGTCCCATTTCTGCCCTGCCTAAATCTTTTGAGGGGAATTTTGAAATTAAGCTACACGTTGTCCACTACTAGCACCTCCACGCAGAAAGTATGGTTTGGCTTAGTAGACTAAGGGTGCAGGGCGCAGAAACAGCCATGTGGTGGCAATGTGCACATTGTAGCGCTGCACTTCACAGTCATAAAATATCTCGGGCAACATTTCAAGTACTCTCACCATCTCGGTGTTTTGTACAGGGTCCAAACAAGACCAAGACTGGTGGTCTGCCCGAGGAATGGCATTATGGAGAAACATCCTCAAATACTCTAGGCCTGATGTTTCAGCAGCAAACGGCAAGAGCAGGCAGCATGCAGTTTAATGGCATATTATTTGCAAGCTTCAGTGCATGAGAGTGCTTTTCACCAACTGTGTCTTCCAACAGTCAGGCTAAGAAGGAAGTCAGTACAAAGGTCAATTCTTTGACACTAAACAGTGATCTCTAAGTATTTCAGGTCATTTGAGATGCACAGCTAACTCCAACCACTAACTGATTACCACATCTCAGCAATCATTTCTACATTGAAGTCATAAAATCATTTACAATTTGATGTATTGTTTCTAAAGCCATTTATAACCTAGCTTGCTCTTCCTTAACAATTGCCATATTTTGAATAATAGCCATAAACCATTAAAAGAATATTTCAAGAAAGTAGCCATGTAGAAAAAACATATCTGAACCCTACAATTAATTAAAAGTGATGAGGGGAAATGTACATTTAGCTTTCTGGTACTTATAACACTTTTTCTTGGCTTGGGATTTGAAAGTTGGAGCTGTCAGTGTTATTTGGTGGAAAACATCATGGATGTAAACACAAATACATGGCTCTGAGGTCTCAATCCATGCAAACACACGTGCAGCTCAGCAGGGCTTGAAGGCATACAGCACTGCCCAGAAACACTGCCTGGTCCAGCAGAGTATCTCAAGTATTACTGATCACTGAGGCACATTAGAAACACAGTTCATTTAGCTTTCCATGGGATGCACAGTGTCCTGCTGCTCTCAGCTGGGCACTGCTTCTACATGCCTTATAGCAAGCACTTCACTTAATTGCTAATCAAAAGAAAAGGGGTAAGGGAGAAGGAGGTAGAGTTCTGTGTAGTTTCAGCTGAGGAAGTGGTATTAGCCCTCATCACAGTGGTTTAAGCCACTACTGCTCACTTCATATTGCCAAGAACCTAGGAGCACAAAACTGGTGTCTCAGTTTAGGAAGTCACTTGGAGATCAGCAGCAAATTGCTTACAAATGTATATGTCCAATTTAACGAGCTACAGGCCACTGTCATTTATGCACCTATATAGCTAAAGGTTTTAGCAGATGGCAGAGCAGGAGCACCTTTTTTATTTGTATCTCCACAATTATTTGACTTTTCAATCCCACTAAAGAGGCAGAAAAAAAAAAATCCCTTTACTTTTGTCAGTATCCAAGATGTCAGGTATGTAACTGTAGACTGTAGGAGATTGCAAATGCTGTATATTTAAGTATAAATAGTTGCAAACTTGTATAGCTTGGTCCTCTAATACATGTATTAAACTTAATGGGAATTTTGTATTTTGGAAAAAAGGGAATCACAGCATCATAGAGTGGTTTGGGTTAGAAAGGACCTTAAAGTTCAACTAGTTCCCCATCCAACCTGGCCTTGAACACTGCCAGGGATGTGCTCAGCAGCAACAGGGTTTCTAGGGGGGGGAAGTGCTACTGGATTCGAGCAGCAGCTGCCGCCCGAGTGTTGCCCTCACAGCCAGGAGCACAGCCACCACCGGGCCCCGGTAGGAGCCTCAGAGCCGCCCCGTCTAGGCCTTGGGGACGGGGGCGCGGTGCTGCGGCCTGTGCACCCCAAACCCGGGTCACCGGCCGCTGGGCGTCTCCCCGCCCGCCCGGAGCCGCCTCCCGGGGCCGCCTCCCGGGGCCGGGGGCAGCGCAGGCAGACACCCGCCCAGCGCCTCCCCGGCCCGCGCTTTCCCCGGGCCCGCGGGGGAGCCGCGCCGCCTCCCTCGGCCGCCTATATAGAGGCGGCTGCGGAGCGGCTCGGTCCGGTGGTGTGCTGTGTGGTGAGTGGGGGGAGGCTGCGGCTGCGTGCTCCCCGCTGGGGGGAGGAGCGGACCGGGAAGGAGCGGAGCGGTCTGTGGCCGGGAGCCGGGCAGTCCCGCGGCCTGTGGGCTTGCAGGCAAGCCTGTGGTGCGCCGCGGCCTTAGGGCTCAGCGGTATTGGAGGTCCCCTGGAAAGCTGCGGGCAGCCTCCCTGGAGAGACATGAGGCCGGGGGTGCGGGGCTCGGCCGCCTCCTTCCGCGGCGGGCTTCTGCCATCGCCCCTCCAAGCGCAGGCCGGGGCTTTCCTGCGGTGAAAGCGCGGTGTTCTGGGAGCAGGGATCGCCGCCTGTGCAGCCAAGCCTCCCGCTCCGGATGAAACCTGCCCCGCAGCTTTGCCCGCGGTCTGGCCAGTGAAGAGTCCCCTGCACCGGCCCAGCTGCGTGGTTAGCGCGCTGTTGCAGTGCCGCTGGGGCATGGCCTGCTGTGACCTTGGGGAGTGGAGTTGTAGCCTGCCTTTGTGGGCTCTTGCAAGGAGCTGTGATACCTTATGGGATTGTCACCTGGTGTTTGATGCGTGTGTCAGCCGAGAGTAACGTTTGGGGCTGTGGGTGGAGGACTCGGTGGTACCTGTTCCATTTACTAATGCTGTGTTTCCAGGTTTGAGGTCTGGACTCACTTTGGAAGTAGAGCAGTTTTTGCCTTGCTGTATCTACAAGCAGTTTTTTATCTGCTAGTGTGGCTAGAAATAGGAAAAGAAAAAAGGATAGGTATGTACATACATAATACTGGTTTAGTTTTGACTAAGTTGTAAACCTTCTGAAAGCAGAGATGTGATATTATGGATCAGGAAACTAAACTTTCTTGGCTTTTAAGCCCTACATGTTTGTACAGGCATCTCTGGTTTTCCTTTTGCTGCCAAGCTTTCAGTGTGGGTCACTTGGCATGTGCTCCCTTTGGGGACTGGCACAAGTCAGTAAGCACTCAGCATGATGCAGGCAGTGTACATTTTACTGAATGCAGGCAATTGTTGCTTACTAAGAGTTACCCTCATTCATAGGCTGCCCCACCTAATCTGTTCTTTTCTGCCTTTAAATGAGAAGCAAAACTGGAGTGCTGCGTGAGCACTAATGAGGATAAGGAAATGTAACTTGGTCTT